TTTTTTTTCTGTTTTGTTAAATTACAAAAAAATAAAAATAATAATAATTAAAAATAGATTTTGTTATTTCGCATTGTGTGAAAATGACACAGTTTTACTTTATATAAATCCACTAAACATATTATTATTATACAGATATTTGCCCTCGCTGTCAGATTTTTTTCAAAATTTCTTTTTATGACGTATTCTTCAACCCCAGTTGTTCTTTTTTTAATCTTCTGTGTGTAAACTAATGGTATTTTCTGTGATTTCACATGATAAAATCTGTCAAATAAGAATCACAAAATTTTTTTTTCTCTTAAATAACAACAAATATATTGAAAATAGTTTGACTTTTCTGTGATTTTTGTGGTTATTGTCTGGAATCTGACAAAACAGGTAAAAAACTGTCACTAAAACTTTTTTTTTTGGTGTATTTATCCTGACATAAGTCAACACGCTGCACTCTGAAGCTTTAAAAGCACCTCTGAGGTTCTGTGTTTTGTCACGAGCTCCAGAACTCCTCAAACTCTGACGCTGGCGGCGCCGACATGCGACCGACGCATGTTTGGCTGCAGCCAGTTAACAGAAGCTTCAGCAGCTCCTCGCCGGCGTTCCTCGACAGCGTTGTTCTCCGCCCGCGTCCACTTCGGCTCTTCTTCTTTCATGTTTGGTTTCTGCAGCCGCTGCACTGTTATAATTAGCCTTCTGAGATGCGCGAGGCGTGGCGGCGTTCCCCCTCCTGAGCCGTTAGCCTCCGCTCGCTGAGAGCCGGAGAGCTTTCTGAGCGGCGAGCGCAGAAACGCTGATGCCTCGACGTTCCCCGAACACGGCGCTAATCAAAGCCGACGTGTGTTTGGCTGCATTCGCAAAAGAGCCTCGATTCCCATGATCCTGCCCCGCTGCTTTCATTTTGACTTTATTTATTACTTTTTTTTTTTTTTGCAGCCTCGCCTCAAATTAAATCCTCATTTTGAGGAACTGGAGCGCTGCAGGGGACGGAAACCTGCACCTGAACCAGAGCGCCGCCGCCGTGTTTTTCTGCGTTTCATCTCTGAAGGTCGCACTGTGGCTCCAGCTCTGGCTCCATGTCACAGCAGAACCAACAGGACGGGCCTGATGTTGGGCTGGTCCTGTTTGGGAGATACGGATCTTGTTTTTGGAGATAATAAATGTCGCTGCAGGTCGTCCGTGGAACGTTGGAACACAAACCTGCCCCTCGGTGTGTTTTTCGGAAAAGCCGCGAGGTCCGGAAACAGGTCGCAGCTTCCTGCACCTCCTCTCTGTGTTCTGCTCGGTCCACGTCTTAGCAGCAGCAGCAGCAGGACCGCTTCGACCCGTTTCGATGCCTTTAGCGGCTCTCTTTACGAGCTCGGGTTTCTGATCCATATGCATCAACATCTGCGCGGCGCGGGCCGACATCTGCACCTCCACGTCGCCGCTCCACCCCGGACCACGGCCTGAACTCTGCTGTTTTTCCTCCTTTGTTTTACGAGGCAGGTTCACATCTGCTTCCAGCCGTCCGTCAGAGCTTTTTCACAAAGTCCGATACCAAAGCGAGGAGCGGCCGGAAGCTTCCGCCGCGAGCTGTTATTCCCGCCAGCTGGATTTGTAGCCCGTTGTTCACAGAAATTCTCAGAAATCTGTGTTTTTATTTGATTATCCGTGTCTTGTTTTTGCCGGGATGGAGCCTCGACTCCCACGGCTCGGCTCTGGTCGCCTCCTGAACCGGCTCTGGACTTTATTTGTCCTGTTTTTAGAAGAAATAAGGAGTAAATGACCAAGTTTACTGTATTTAAAACCTCAAAGAATGAAGGTAAAATAGAGTTTTCATGAAGAATTTCTCCCAGAAGTTGTGCTTTTTGCAGCAGCAAATACATTTTAATGAAAAAAAAAGTGTTTTATTTGTGTTCTGTCACAATAACCTGAATAAATTAAGGTTTAAAACATTAAACAGATGTAACGTAGGACTCTAGGAACTCCTCAAGAGTGTTTTTAATGTTTTCTGACCAGGTGATTGGACTTCTTACAGTGTTCGTGCCTCAGTTTGGTCGTTTTATGTCTATTTTGGCAGTTTTTGTGCCTCATTTCGGTCAATTTAGGTCTCATTTTAGTGGCTTTGTGCCTCATTTTGGTCATTTTATGTCTTATTTTGGTGGTTTTATGCCTCGTTTTGGTCGTTTTGTGCCTCCTTTTGGTCGTTTTGTCTCTCAGCTGCTGATGGAAACTTTCACAGCTAACCAGCTAGCTTCTATCGTAGCTGTGAGGCGTTTACGGAACATCTGTAAATTTCTGCGTCTGTCAACAACATTGATATTCGTCCTCTAGAAGATTAGTTCAGGTCTAATTTTGAGGTGGTTTTACACATTAGCAGGAACGTAGCGCAGCGTGGAAGGAAAAGCTGTTCACTGAAATGTGATAAAAACACGATTTGAATGTAAAATCGGTGAATAATTTAGATGAATTGGCTCGTTGGGATCTCAATACTGACGATGCAGTATGACTAACTCAACCAACGCACACGATAATGAATTATTACACATGAGATCTGAATATCTACGGCACATATAAATGCACATATTACATCTGCGTGCCCTCCATCAACCCCGACCTCCTCGCGCTCGAGCTCATGAATAAAACGCATCCCGGACTCCATCCCCGCTGCAACACAAGTGCTGCAGGAAGTCAGCAGATCCCCTCCTGCTCTCCATAACTCAGTGATTTCCAGGCCGGCTGGTTGCCTCGGCGTTGGCAGGCCTCCGTTCTCGCCTCGCCGCCTTATGTTCGCGCATATGTTCCCTCCGCTCGCCTTAGCGGCAGCTCGCAGAGCCGCGGCCCCGGACGGTGGATTTGCATGGTGATTGATTCGCCCGTGTTGTGTTACGGGCGGAGCTGCAGCCGAGCTAATTGCAAATGTGATCACGAGTGGTGGTGGTGGTGGTGGTGGTGGGGGTGGGATGCAGATTAATTCCAAACGGAGGTAGCGCAGATCGAGGTCGCGGTTTTGCTCTTGATGCTTTGAAATTCATCCATAAGTATCCCATAATGAGGTCCAAATTATCCCAAAGACCTTTTCTCTCTCTCTCGCTCTTCTTTTTCTTTCTTCCCACACAGGCGGCGGAAAAAAAGAACAATGCTCGTCTGTCCTCACGCCGGAAGAGTAATCTGTGTTTACACGCCGCAGATCAGCGCCGGCTAAACGCCTGGAACGGGCCTAATCTCCGTGCTAAATATCTAAATCTTATTGTAAAGGTAAACCGCGCCGTAATCCCGAGTTTTGCTGCAAACACAACCTGCAGCCGCTCGTCGGGGAGGAAAAATCCGCCGGTTCCAATCGGGTTTGTGGGAACGTCTGCCCGGCGTCGGTGTCACCTGTCGGTCTGGGGCCGTTTTTAGAAGCCGGGCCAGTAATAGAGCCCGGGCCGGGACCGGGAGGCGGCCGGCCGGAGGGAGGGAAGGAGGGAGGAGAGGAAGCAGCGCCACTGAAGTGCTAATGTTTGGAGATGCTATCTGTGCGATTAGCTGCCCTGAGGAGGGGCGGAGGGGGGCAGGTCTTGGCTTTAATTGGCCCCTGAGCTGCGTTTCCGGGTCCTCGTCGGTCGCCGAGGGGAATTCCAGCGAAGGAATTTCCTCACAGGTTCAGACAGGAGCTTGTTTATGTGGAAACACTGAAGGGAAGTGAAGCCAGCGGCTGGAGGACTGAGTCATTAAGGCTTCTGTACTCTGGACGAGCTGCTCGCTGATCAGTTTTATATCCGTAAACGTTCTGTTTTAAAGGAAAGCTTCTCAACTTTCGGGGCATTTTTACTCACTGTGGCCTCATTTTTCAGCCAATAGAAACAGAACCATGACTAGAAGCCGACAGATCTTCATCTAAATCTACCATAAACTTCTATTAAAATGTTTTTATAAGCAAAGAAAACGTGTTGATCATCTGCACACGGGAGGCTTTTATTATTAATTAACCCGTCGCTTGTTTTCGTCGTCTGTATGTCGATTAAATGTCAGTTTTCTTCACTGTGGACTCAGTTTTCTCTGCAATATGGAAACAGAAGAACCAAGAAAAGAGAGAAGTTAAAAAATATGTGTTCTGTGCTGCAGGACGGAGTTGGAGTGACTGAAAATATGGTTCAACGAAAGCTGAAAATCAAACGATTTATACAATTTATACTGGTCCATAAAGTTTGTCTTTTTGGCTTAAAAAAATATAATAATAATAATAATAATAATAATATTTTTTATTGTCCTGTTGTAAAATTATATGACAAAGTAAAACAAGTTTTGAGGCTCCACAAGTTTGAGTTGAACTTACACACGATGTTCAGTTGAGGCAACATTTTGTCAACACAACTCATTAAAGTTGTGTTTGCAGCTTGAACGCTC